CAACTTTTGCTCAATTTTCTCCCTATGGGATTGTTTATATTTTAATTATTAATTCTTAGAAACTCTTTACATATTATGGACATGAAGGGGTCTATACTATGAAGTGAAAATACTATTTCCCAGTTTTGTTTTAACTTTTCTGTGGTGGTATTTGGCCTTAATTTTATGTTGTAGAATTAGAAATCTTTGTTGCTATTGTTACTTTTGGATTCTGAACCATAGTAACAAAGGATATCGCCAGACTAATTCTTTTAAAACTGAAAGAAAATGTTACTTCCCTTTTGAAAACTCTCCAATGGTTTCCTCTCTAACTTAGATTCAAATCCACAATGATGAGGGGGCCTACATGATCTGATCTCTGAATATTCATCTCAAATCATCTCCTACTCTCTCCCCATCACTCATTCATTGGTGTTTGGAGTTCCTTGGTCCACTCCAAGGAACACGGACCTCCTTACTGTTTCTTAAACACTCTGATATCAAACTCAGGTTCAGGGCTTGTTGTTTTAGAATCCAGTACTGAGAGACAAATGTCGATTAAAAGGAAAGATAGCTTTATTGAGGAAGCTGGCAATTCTGGGGAGAAGGTGAACTCATGTCCCAAAGAGCCAACTCCCCTCAGCCTATCAAAGGGCAAGAGCTTTTAAGGAGTTTCAGGGCTGCACAGGCAGGGGGCAGGAGACTATATGCAGAACAGCACAGTCAGCTCCGACGATTATCTTGAAATTGGTCATGTGTCTAGTCAGCATCAGCTTGATTGTTCTAAGTATAGTTACTTTTCAGTTCCAGGGTTGGTTTGTTCCCATTTCCTTGAGGCCAGTTCTTGGAATTATGTAAGATGGAGCAGCTTATGTCATGGCTACAGTCTGGTCATCATGTAGTTAACTTCTTCCACCTGGTGGGGTTTCAGTATCTGCAAAACAGCTCAAAGGCTATGGCTCAGAATATTATCTAGAGCCCTTGGGGAGGAACTAAAGGTCCTCGACTTTGTTCACTGGCTAACCTATTACCATTTGTCTTATTTGACTGTTTTCCTTTGTTTCTGCATTTTCTTGTCTCTCTGATTAAATTTATTCTTTGGCTAAAGTTTTTCTACAGACAAGAGCCAGGCAGAGGACGTGGAGAGGGGTTGTCTGTCCCAGGAAGATCCCATAGGGTCCTGCTCAGTTATAACTCCACATACACTTCCACCTCAGGGCCTTTGCACTTGCTGTTCCCTCGGCCTAGAACACTTTTCCCAGTTATCCCTCCTTCAACTCATTTAGGTGTTCAAATGTCACCTTCTCAGAGAGGTCCCTCCCCGATCACCACAAGACAGCACCCTGTCTGTCACTCTAGCCCCTGAACCTGCTTTATTTCTCATCTCCTGACATATATGTTTCTTGCCCATCTCCACCCACTAGAATGGCAACTCCATGGGGAGGAGATTATTGTCTGTGTGTTCCGCTGCATCCTCAGCACCTACATGTGGCACATGGTAGATCCCCAAATATCTAATATATGAATGGGTAAATTAATACATCAAAGTGAGACTCTCCTTGGCCCAATGAGAAAGATTTAAAGCTCTTTTTCTGTTGCCCAAACCACCATACTCCATCTCCCTTCCAGGTCTTTGCACATGCTGTTGGCCTGAAACAAAACCATCTTCTCACTCCTATTCCTAAATTTTCACCTGATTACTCTGACTTTACTTAGACTTTCTGATCTCAGCCTCAATACCACTTCCTCCAGGAAGCCTTCCTTGACTCCTTCAGGTTAGATGGGTAAAGAAGCCTCTCTGGGCCCTCTCAGCTGCTTATTTATGGATAGTTCTCCCTGACCAGTCTGTGAGTTCTGTAGGGGTGCTTGTCTTTGAAATTCCATTGTGCTTTCAGACCCAGTGATCAACCCGAAATGGGATTGCTGGATTATTCTTTCTCCTGCCTTAGCAATAAGCTTCTCTTGAAAACTTTCTCTGCTGTCAGAGACCTCCTTCCACCAGCAGAGGAGGCATGCGATGCCCTTAGGGATCGGGAAGCAAAGCCAGTTCTTGAAGCCCTCGGGAAAACAAGTGGGCTGATTTACAAGCCCTCGGGAACCAAGGAATGACCCAAGAAGCCCAGGCTGGGACAGGAAGTGACAAAACTGGGCACATCCTGGCCATAATATCCACGCCGAGAAACTCCTGACCCTTCCTACCTGAGCAATCAACCGTACCTCTCTGAGCCTCAGTTTCCTCATCTGTAGAATGGAGGGGCTGGTGGAAAGTAAGTCCTACCAAGTGCAGGAACTTTGTAAATGTGTCATAAATGACAGCCGTATGTTGTTACGTTGTTGTGGGAGTTAAATCCTTGCCTCCTGAGTCCTGCCCGGCCTTTCCCGGGAAGCCTCGGGCTGGAAGCCCAGGAGGAGGGTGCGAAAACAGAGGCCACAAATACCCTGCAAAGACGCCCCTCCCGCCGTGGCCCCCTCGCTGCAAACCCGGGATCCCAGGGAGGGGAAGGCGGCGGGGCGGGGTGGGGGGAACGGGGGGGAGCGGGGGGGCGAGGGGGAGGGAATCTGAACGGCAGCGGCAGCTGCTCTGGGCGTGCGGCCAACGTCCCCTCCCTCCGCCAGCGGCATTCCTGCGGGAGGAGGCCGAGCGCTACTCCGCGTCTGGCTGGAGGTTCGCTGGCGCCCTCTGGTGGCCAAGATCGAGAGGTTGAATTAGACCACTAACAGCTGCTGCAGACCTGGGTGGAGCCCATAGCTACTCTCCAGACCTCCTCCACTCCGTGGGCTCCCTCTAACACTCGTATTCAGGACCTTAGTTCCATCACTTAGCCTGCTGTGTGACTCTGGGCAAATCACTTAACCTCTCTGTGCAAAATTGTAGAGTTTCCCAGCTGTACAATTTTCGGCAGGACACTTCACTTCGTATTTTTTTTCACCTGCAAAATGGGTCGATGGTCCCATTAGACAGATTGTTGAGAGGATGAAAAGAGATGGTCCAGGTGAACGTGGCTACAGTAAACATTCACTTCACAAGGGTGGAGGTTTCCATCCAACTCACTGCTGTGTCCCCAGCACCTACAACGAGGCCAGGCACGCAGTAGGTGCTCAAATTTTATTTATTTTATTATTAATTATTAGGCAAATGCTTATCGGTCTTCTTTAGAGGAGCCTAGATAGAGGGTAGTGTGGAGGGGTCAGGTGCATGAGATGCGAGCTCCTGCTATGACTCATTCACTCAGCACCCATTTTTGTCTCCATCAGTTCACAGGGTGGCAAGGTGATATCCCTAAGGACAAAGTATTTTCAAAGTGTTTCTCCGCCTCCTCTGATGCTTGTTGGTACCCATGGGCAGTTTTTCCCTTCCCGGACCCACCCCCAAGTCAAAGTAGAAACTCAAGGGACTGCCACAGGCCTAAATGTGCTTCAGAGAGGCTCCGATGGACCTACTTGGCAAAAATACTCACTGGGGAGACAGAAACACTGGCACTGAGGGAGGGAGCCCACACTGGAGAGAAAGGTGGGAGGGACTGAGAATAAAGTCCCTGAAGCTCCTCACCTTTGCATAACCCCCTGTCCTGGTCCCCTGGGAGCCCACAAGATGCAGGGGGTGGACATGGACACCTGGTATGGGGATGAAGATGTGAAGGGATTGCTGAATAGAACTAATGGAGATTCCCTGAGAGCCTGGGATGGCAGTGGAATATGCCACCCCAAGTGGATACCAATGTTTCAGAATCTTCTAAATTAGGTCTCACCTGCTTCCCTGGTCCAGGTCTTCATTCGATTCTGTGGATTCTTTGCTTCATAGGAGATTGTTTCCATAGACTTAAGAGCATGACCCATCCTCCTGGCTCATCTGCCTGACACGGGGCTAGTTGCCCACCCACTCAGGGCTTCAGTTTTCTCGTCTGTACAATGGTGATAATTCTTACTTGAGCATAGGTTGGAGACTTCTGTGAGTGTATACAGAGCATATAGAACAGTGCCTGGTACATAGTAGACACACAATGAATGCCCCAGGAATAAATGACTACCCCGTTGGTGTCTGACACTCTCTGTTCCCCTGCTCGCTACAAAGGTAAAGTCTGGAAAGTGGGTGCACATGGAACCCAATTCATGGGAGGCGGTGAGGTTTAAGGAGGAAGTGCACCTTAGGCCTTAGTAAGAAAGTTCTTGGAAAATATCCACTCCACGCAAGCAGGGACTTTGTCTCTTGTGGTCACTGCTGCGTCCCCCAGCATGCTAATTGGGGCCAAGCTTCTAGTAAATACTTTATGAATCTTTGTTGTATAAACGTATATTATCATTGTTTTGTGAGATCCGGGGCCCTCTAATAGGAAAGACTCCCCAAGCTGGCAACATTGACTTCACTGAAGAAGGAAGAAAACTTGTCTGCAACCCCACCTGCTTCTAAGGGGCAGGCACCACACATTGGTTTCAACCTCTTTACTGGGCATTTGAAACAGCCAGTGAGAATGATCTCAGAACAGAGAGAGCCTTCTTCCAGGAATGCTTCAAGCATGATGTATTTTTCTCCCAAGTTTAATATGTATAATTTGCCTTCTGGAAAAGGAGTCCAGGGAGATTGGCATGATTTAGGAACAATGGACAATTGTCACAATTTACCGAGCATAACAGCCTCCTGTGAGAAAGGAGAAAATCCACGTGGCACAGGCTGGATGCAGAAGGATCTAAAGCCCAACAAGAGGATTTGCCCCATGCATTTCCCAGAAGCTTCCATCAGAGTGAGTCCTGGGGCCAGACGGCTAAATGCCACATGACTGATCAGGCCGGCGATTGGGAAATGAAAACATCACACCGGCACCAGCCCGTTTGAGCCGCTACCCCAGAAACTCCTGCCAAGGGCAGAGGTGAGGACAATTCTCTTTCCTCCTGCCCCTACCAGCCAATCCCAAACAAGTCCTGAGTCCAGGCCCTGGGCCACGTGGCCCGGGCTCCCTGCTGGGGGAGGAGAGGACATCGGGATGAGACCTCATGGCTGAAGGAAAAGGCAACCCTCTTAACACCTTGGCCCCCAAGGCAGGGGTGGGGCTGCAACACTTCTCAATGCAACGGTCCCCAGCACCCCGCCCACAGAGGCTGGGCTGAGAAGGAAGGAACATTGGGTTTATGGGAATTTCCTCCCTGTGTCAGTTTAGATATTAACTCAGCCAGGACAGGCCAAGGCAAACAGACCGGAGCTGGAGTGGACAGAAGACAGGCATTGGGAGCCTCGGGCCCAATATCATCCTCCCACCGCCATGGACATGCCCTGGCCCCTGGGGTTCATTCTGCTCCTCCTGGGGATCCCTGTGGTCCATGCTGAGCCTCTGTGAGTCTGGAGAACTGGGGAGACTCAGCCAGCAGGCAGCCTGCTCATTTGCCATCTGTGTGATTCCCTGCACGTGACCCCGTCTGTCTCTGCCAATGCTTCCCCAACTCGAGTCACCCTGTGCCCCTGTGTTTGTCTGTTGGCAGGTACATCCTGGTGACGCCCCGGGTCCTGCGGGTGGGCAGCCCGGAGAAAATCCACGTGCAGGCTCACTCGGACTCCGGAGAGCCCCTCACCAGACCCCTCGAGGTGAACCTCACCATCTGGGACTTCCCCATGAAGAAGAAGACGGTAGCTAGTAGCCAGCTCATTCTCTCACCCGAAAACCACTTTATGGACCAAACACTGGTGACGGTGGGTGAGGGTCCAGGATGGATGGCCATAGAGGGAGGCTCTGGCTCAGCTGCAAGGGTGGAGAGGGGCAGATTCTAGACAGACTTCCCACAAGGCACACTGGAGAAGAAATGCAGGGCCTGGATAGACTTACGGCTTCTCTTGTGTATTTAGAACTCCAAAGTCCCCTAAGTCTGGGCTCCAAGAGAGGCCTTGCTGAGCCCATAGAATGCTTCGTGCGAATTAATGAAAGGGGCCCTCTGCTGGTGGATTGGGAAACTGCACCTGACCGGGATTGCATTCCTCCTGGGCTGGATGCCTTTGATTGGGAGCAATCTACTCCCCATGGCAGCGCCAGAGAGCTCCCATTCCATTGCTTCTCCAAGATCTGGCCCAGGGCTTTACCTGCAGGGGTGGAGACCCCAGCAGTCTCTGAGGAGTGTGGGCACCTCTCCCCAGATTCCCGAGAGCCTGGTATACCCCCCACAACCGGGGCAGCAGTATCTCATCATCCGAGCAAATTGGGCACCCACCTCATTCATGGAGAAGCTGGTGCTGGTGGCTCCCCATGCTGGCTACATCTTCATCCAGACAGACAAGACCATCTACACTCCTGAGCACTGGGGTACAGCCCTCCGGTTTCCCCCAGCAACCACATGTCCACCTCCCAACCTCTCCTTCTGTCCAAGGTCCCCCGACTGCCCAAGCTCCTAATTAATGATTACAGCCACTTTCCAAACGCTATCCCCTGCTCAGAGTCTTCCCTCCTTCTCCAGTTCAATACCGGGTGTACACCGTGAACCACAAGATGGATCCTGTGAGCAGGACATTCACTCTGGACATCAAGGTGGCCTCTCCTGAGGGAAGGATGGATCCCAGTCATGGGGGTTATAGCACATGCTGAAGGTCTGGGGCATGAACCACCCACTCCCTATCTCCACAGAACCCAGAAGGGATCACTGTGATCAGCCAGGATTGGCTGGCCGAGGACGGTGTCTTCACAAACTCCTTCCGGCTCCCAGAGCTCATCAGGTGCCCTGCTGGGAACCCTAGGGATGGTGGGAGGAGGCTCTCCTTCTCAAGTTCCATCTCTCCTAACTCTCTGTGCCTCAGTCTTGGGACCTGGAGCATCGAAGCCAGTTACCAAAGTGCACCCAAGCAGAAGTTCAAGTCTGCCTTTGAAGTGAAGGAGTATGGTGAGAAGGGTGTGATGGGGAGGACAAGGCGGGACACACAGGAAACAGCGCTGGAAGTGGAAAGGAGGTCTCGTGGTGCACCTGCTGGGTGCCAGGGCCTGAGCTGGGTGTGGAGGACAGGACCACGTGTTCCAGCCCTTTGGGGTTAACAGAATCAGAGGAGTGAGTAAGGTGGGGTGGGGAGGGGAGGACAGTGAAATACTGAGGTGCAACTCTCCTTCCTCCACCCAGTGCTCCCATCTTTTGAGGTCCAGCTGATGCCAAACAAGACATTCTTCTACTTCAGTGATGAGGCTCTGGGTGTGAACATCGAGGCCCGGTGAGTTCCTTTACCCACAGCCTGGCCAGAGGATGAGGGAGGCCAAGAAACGGAATGGGTAGAGAGAAGCGGGCTACTTCTGTAGTTCTTGGAATACAGTAGAGACACTCTCTGCCACCCATGAGACATTCTTGTCTCGTGAGGTTGTGCAGACCATCCCTTCAGGTCCCTAGGGTTGTACAGGCCACCTTGTCCACCTAATGGAATTAGAACACATCTTGTGGTTTGGACCATCTCTAAAGGTCCACAAGGCTGCACAGGCACCTTTGCCATCTTGTGAGGTTGTCTAGACCATCTCTGAAGCTCCATGAAATTGCAAAAGTCATATTTGCTGCCTTATGGCATTTACAGACCATCTCTATGGATTTATAAGGCTATACCAACCATGTTGTCCACCTAAGCTTGTAAGGGCCACGTCTGCCACTTCTTGACATTATACAGACCATTTCTGCAGCTCTGTCATGCTCTAAAAATCACCTAGTCTGCCCCAGGAGTCTTCACAGGCCACCTTGGCCACCCTGAGGGTTGTCCAGACTTCTCTGTGGCTCCATTTGACTCTACAGACTACCTCTACCATCTTGTGAGGTTGAACAGGCCACATCTGCAACCCAACAAGGCTCCATGGGACAGATTTGTCACTCCCAGGGCTGTGTTGGTCAGCAATGAAACCATCTAAGTTACCAGGGACCACCTCTGCCCCTCCCAAAGTGTTATGGCCATCGCCGTAGCCTCATGAGATCATACAGACGATCTCTGCAGCTACACAAGGTTGTAGCTTCAGAGCCAGTGTGATGCTTGTCAATCCCCCAGATATATATTCAACAAGCCAGTGGATGGACATGCTCTGGTCATCTTTGGGGTGAAGCTGGATTCCCGTCGGATCCCCATCCAAAGCTCCCTGCAAAGGGTGGAGGTGACTGAGTCCCACCCCTCCCCCATCTCTCCTCCCCTACCTCCTCTCTCCTCTTTTCCCCTTCCCCGCCTCCCCTCCCTCAACCCTCCCAAAGCTCCCAAGAAACTATCTCCTCTCCTCTCTCCTGCCCTGAGAACAGATCTCTGAAGGCCTGGGCCACGTCTCCCTCCAGAAGGACACACTCATGGCCACATTCCAAGGCCCAGAAGAGGACTTCATCGGGGCCTCAATCTTTGTCAACGTCACTGTCTTCTCCTCAGGTGCCACCCTCACCCAGGCCCCTGGCTGAGGTCAGGACACCATGTCCCTTCCCAATGCAGACACTCCACCCACATGACCTCAAGCCACCTCCTGCCTCAGTTTCCTCATCAGAGAAATGGGGAAATCCCAGACGGGCTGGGAGAGGCTGAAATTGTGTTACTGTGTCTTCTCGCCTTTACCAAGATGGGCCTCCCTTTCCAGCAAGCTCTGCTCCTCCCCCGAGAAACTGAACCTCCCCCACAGACCTCACAGTCCCCCTGTCTCTTCAGGGGGTGAGATGGTCCAGGCTGAGACCTCCGGGGTGAAGATCGTCCGGAGCCCATACAACATCAAGTTCACCAGGACACCCCAGTACTTCAAGCCGGGGATGCCATTCCACTTCAGGGTCAGAGTCTGGGTTCATTCCACACAGGGACTCAGGGCCCCCTCCTTGAAACAGACCTTCCCAGGAGACAAAAACCCACCCTGGATTCTTCTACCCTCTGCCTCTCTCCCCATCCCCACCCACACACACACACACCTCATCTGTCTGAGAGTGGAATCCATCATGCCTCCAGACCAATCCCAAGGATCCCTCAAGTCTTAACCCAGGTCCCCCCAAAGCACAATGATGGCTCCAGAACTTCTCTATGGAGAGTTAAGGGTCACAGTCAGGCTGGAAGGTGGTGCTTAGTTTATCTTGAGGCTACATTTGCACTGCAAGCATGCTGTTTTTACATACATTCTTTGAGATGTCTGATGGGGATTAGAAAAGTTGGAGACATCCTCTAGTGCCAATTCTACTCAGAGTTTTTCCCAAGCCCCCCACATCTCCTCCTACCCTTTTCACTCTCAATTTCCCCCATCCCTACCCACCTTGGCACACCAACACCCAGGGCTGCTACATACAGTTGGACTCTGCAAGACTCTAGCGGGCACCATTCATAGACGCTAAATGAATGGTGCCCCTGGTTTGCTCAGTGCACAACTTGTACAACTGTACAAGACAGTCTTATCCAGATTGCATTCCCAGTTTCCACCTCTCCAGCCAGGCCACCCCCAGGCCTGTCCTTGATCTCACCCTAGATTCCACCCCAGGTCTTCGTCTCAAATCCTGATGGGTCCCCAGCCTCCAGAGTCCTCGTCCGCTGCCAAAACCAAAAACTATACACCTTGCCCAGTGGGGTGGCCACTCTGACCATCGACACAAATGCTGATCAAAAGGAGCTCCCTATCCTGGTACCAACCTGATGGGGCAGGGGCAGTGGGGTTGGGACTGTGTGACCTGGAGGGGTCATTGGGGGGTTTACTTGCCCGTCACTCTTCCCAGGTAGAAACTGATGAATCTCTCCGGCCAGAGGAGCAGGCTTCAGCCAGTATGACAGCTTGGCCTTACTTAACTCAGGATGGGTCAGGGAACTTCCTGCACATTGAGGTGAAGACTCTGGGCACAGAGGTTGGCAGCAATATCCAGCTGAGCCTCAACACAAGGCATCAAAATCCCGCAGATGAGGACCGGATCACTCACTTCACCATCCTGGTGAGAGGCTGGGACCGGGACTTGAGCTGAGGAATTCTTTGCCTGGAACTCTGGCAAACTAAGTTGGTGGGAGCCATCTGGGATGGGCTCAGAACGAGGGGCTTAAACAAAGGGACTATGGGCCTCCCTCGTGGGCTGGGACAGCCTTGGGGAAGGGCTGGCCCTACCCTCCTCCTCCCTCTTGTCTCCAAGGTCCTGAGTAAGGGCCAGATTGTGTACGCCAAACACCAAGAACACAGTCATGGGAGTGTCTACACGTCAGCCGTCATTCACGTGACTTCAGAGATGCTGCCCTCCTTCCGCATCCTGGCCTTCTATTTACTGCCCAGGGGGACAGGCTGGGATCCTGAACTGGTGGCTGATTCCATTTGGATTGATGTGAATGACAGATGCATGGGGACGGTGAGCCAAACTCCTTGAAGCTGTACGTCACCATCATAATGCTCAGGGGAGAGTTCTCAGTCTGGGAACAGAAGAGAGGAATAAGAAGTGATATGACCTTGAGAGCTCAACCTAGGAGGTGGAGAAGACACAAGCAAATGTGTAGGGTTGAGATTAGCCTGGTGGAACCCAAAAGTGGACTTGGGGAAGCCACTTGGTGCTCTATGAGCCCCTTTTCCTGACATCTCTCTTCTTCCTCACTTAGCTGAAGGTTGGCATGAAGAATGAAAGATACTTGCAGCTGGTAGAGCCCAGCAGCTGGGTGGAATTGAAGGTGACAGGTGATGCAGAGGCCACAGTGGGGCTGGTGGCCATGGACAAGGCTGTCTCTATCTTGAACAGCAAACACAAGCTCACACAGAAGAAGGTGAGAGCATGTGGGCTTTGGGCCAAGAGGTTGCCTGGAGAGTCTAGCTGGAGCCTCAGTTTTTTCAGCTATTAAATGGGCAATATTGGCGGCTGCAAGGATTCAAAGAACCAGTGCACAACATAGAGACTGGCAGGTGGTGAGGGCTCAATAAATGGACGACGGTGTGGAATTATTATTTGAACCAGAAATTACAGCAATTACCTTGCACCTTCCCTGGAGGGGGTCATACAGGCTCCAAACCCAGGTTCCTCTCTTGACCCTCAGGTCTGGGATTTGGTGGAGGAACATGACATTGGCTGCACAGCAGGCAGTGGGAAAGACAGACTTGCTGTGTTCAAGGATGCTGGACTGGACATGAAGATGAGCACAGGGATGGACACTTTGGCAAGCTCAGGTATAGATGGGGGGCAGGAGGAGGGCAGGGATGGGGGACTGCTGTCTGGTAGTTAGGAGCATGGACTTTGGTGTGAAACAGATGGGCTAAAATCCAGGACCTTGCCATTTACCATAGGCCAGATTTCCTCTCTGATTCTCAGTTTATCCATCCATAAGATGGAAATAATAGAAGTAACTCACTGTGTGCTAATTAAGATGTAGGTCTGGCCATGTGTATCAGAGATACAAACTAACAGTAGCTTAAATAAGGTAGAAGTTTATTTCTTGTTCCGTAACAGTCCAGAGGTCATTCTGGGACTCAGGCTCCTTCTAGCTTGCTGTTCTACCATATTCCAAGATGGAATCTTACCAGGACCTCCTGCCAGGCTCCAGGCTGGAGGGAAGTGGGAGAGAGAGGACATTGCTCTCACAACTCATTGGCCAGAACTCAGTCACAGGGCCCCACCTAGATGCAAAGCAGGCTGGGAAATGTAGTCTTCATTCTGAGTGATCTATAAAAGATGCCACACGTGATGGGGGAAATGATAATATTGGGGACAACTAGAGTGTCTTCTTTCAGTTATAAACAGTGATATTGGTAACAATTTCTATTTTCCACAAGCTGGACCTTGTGCTACGTACTTTTATATGCATGATTGCATAGATAGAACTATGATTATTCCATTTTACATAGCTGGGGAAAGTAAAACCCAGAGAGGAAAAGTGAGTTGCTGAAGATTGCACAGCTTTTAAACAGCAAAATTTGAATATGAAAAGGCTGTGGGATAAAATGAGGTGATGCATATAAAGCACTAGGTAGGCAGTAAGCACCCAGTAAATATCAAGGATGTTGATAATGATCTTGAAACTTGTCCTCTCATTCTTCCTTCTGACACCCAGACTGGCACTGCCCCAAGAGTCCCCCTCCCAGTCGCCACCGCCGCTCCCTGAAGAGGCTGGAGACCAAGAGGAATGCAGGTCAGAACTAAAGCTGAATGTGTTCCCCCTGGCTGCTTACCCTACTGTACTCATCAGGGCTTAGAGCAGAAAGCTGAAACCACTCTAGGTAATTCCAGCAGGGAGGGAGTGACTTAATGATGGCAGTTTGGTGCTCATTAGCCTGGCTTTAGGAGTAGAAGTTGGAAGGCAGCTTGCTGATACTCAAGACCACTCCACTGCAGTTCTTGCCATGCATGAAATCTCAGGAAACTGCTGCCAGTATCTCTCTCATGAAGCTGGCGGTTAGACAGTGGAACGTGGAACTGTGCCTGTTACAAAAACACATAGACCTAGGTGAGGCGAGGTGAGGCTGGGGGAAGGGTATAGCACAGTGGTAGAGTGTGTGCCTAGGATGCACAAATTCCTGGGTTCAATCCCCAGTACCTCCATTATAAATAAATAAATGAAATTATCTCCCCCACACAAAAAAGTTTTTTAATTAAAAAAAAAGAAAAGATAGGCCAGAGCCCACCCATCAGCTACCACTGTTGCAGGGGAAGTGGTCTCCTCCTCTCTTCCACCTTCCAGATCCTACACAGGAGCATCCCATTGGCAGAATCTAATCCCATCCAGAACCCCAGCAGCAAGGGAGTCTGGGAAATGTAGTTTTTAGATGTCTAGCTTCGTGATACAAAAGGAAATGTAGATGAGAGGAGAGATGGATAACACATAGACCAAGACCAGGGTGTGGACCAGACCAAGAAGCCCAGAGTTCAAGGAAGATAGGAAGCAGCAGTGGGTGTTGTTAGAAGAATAAATTCTATGAGTACTAGGTTTTTTGGTCTGTTTGAGCAGTGTTAATGACTTTGTGGATCTAAATAAAGGGAAAATAAGTGACATCGAATAAAAGTTGAGGTAGAACCCTAACTCTAATTTCAGTATCAAAAATCATGCTACCTTCTCCGAAAAGTAAACAATATAAACTTGTTTTATTTGTGGTAACGATCAGATATATTATGTAACTATAGACGTTTTAATCACATTATGTGGCAGACAGTAAGATTGTTACATTGCTCTAATATTTTTATCTTTACATGCATTCCTTCAGTTCACTAATTGAGAAGCATTCAACTTGATGTCATACTCTATAGCAAGTTTTGTGTTTTCATTTTTTAAAAATACGCAGTGAAAACCAGGAGTCAAAATTGCCAGTCCCTGTCAAAAAAGGAGTAGGAGCAGGAGCAGAAACAGCAGCACAAATTCTCATCCCAGCTCTGTCACTTGTGAGCTGTGTGACCCTGGGCCAGTGAATTGGCCTCTCTGTAGCTCAGCTTCCTCATCAGAACTCATCACCTGGGTTCATTGTGAAGCTTCAAGGGGAAGATACAGGCAATGTTCTAGGGACAACATGGCCAGAGATATGGCTAAATCGAGGTCAGGTGTACATGGCATTCAGCTGAATGTGTCCCAGCCTCCCCAGGTCCTACCCGACCCCTCCTCTGTCCCTCTAACTCTGGCCGGCAGTGAACAAGTTCAAGACAGAGCTGGAGCGGAAGTGCTGTGAGGCAGGGCTCCGGGAGAGCCCAGTGGGGCTGTCGTGCGAGGAGAGGACCCGGCACGTCCGCCATGGGCCAGTCTGCATCGCCGCTTTCCTGAGCTGCTGTCACCTGTCTGAGGCCCTGACTCGAGAGGCCCGAGAGGAGCAGCTGCTTCTGGGGACGAGTGAGGGGACCATGGCAGGAGGCACAGGGTAGGGGGTGGGGGCTCCGCCAAGGGGCATGGAGTGCCGCAGACAGGTCAAGAGGTGATACGTGCCATGGAGGGATGAGGTGGGGGGATCCCACTGAGGAGTCTGCTGGGCCACGGGAGGCACGTGAGGGACACCCTGCCCCATATCGGCTCCCTGCAGTGGATGAAGACGAGGACTTGGATGACATCTTCCTGGAGGACCAGCCTGTCCGGACCTTGTTCCCTGAAAGTTGGTTCTGGAAGAAGATTACTCTGCCGAAAAGTGAATCGGGGTAGGATCATGGCCCCAGTGCTAGCCTCTGGCCCCTGGCCCTTCCACAAGTCAGGGGACGTCCATCGTGGCCAGCGCCCCCTAGTGGTGACCCTGAGCTCTCAGCAATATCCCATGACAGGAAACTTCCCTGATAGGGACAAAAATCTCAGAGGGTCACTCCAAATGATGTCCCTCTAGTGACGATGTCTATAATAGGGTGACCCACTGACCATTCCATAGTGATCGTAACCCCTGGACAGTGACCCCCAGTCCGAGGCTCCACCCAGTTAGCGCAAACCCACTGGTGTTTCCTCCCCACCCACGTCCGCCCTGGCACTTCCGGCAGCATCTCCCACTTCAGCACCGCGGTGACCGTGCCAGATTCCATCACCACATGGCAGTTTGTGGCCGTCAGCATCAAGGCTGGACAAGGTGACCCCACAGGCCGAGTGCTGGGGAGACAGGAGAATGGTGGCCCTGCCCAGCCCCAGGGCAGTTGGCCTCTGCTTAACATTAAGTGCTCTCCTGGTTCTAGGTCTTTGTGTCTCGGACCCCTTTGAGCTGACAGTCACAAAATCCTTCTTTGTGGATCTTAAGTTGCCCTTCTCCGTGATCAGGAATGAACAAGTCCAGATCCAAGCCGTGCTGTACAATTTCAGGGGCAACTCAGTCAAGGTGCAGCCCCCAGACTTCCCCTCCCCTCCCAAATGTCTGTCAGTGTGTTTTATAAAGAGGATGGAGTGTGTCTGTTATTCGAAGGAGCCAGTGAAGTGGAGGCCCTCTTGAAAACTCTTTAAAGGTATTTTCTCATTTAAGCCTCACAATAACCCCAGGAGACGGATGCTATGACTGTTCTTGGTTTAGAGATAAAGAAACTTGCATGGCTTCCCTGAGATCACATAGCACCTTAGTGGCAGAGGGGGTTTGAAGCCAGACAGGGTCCTTACTCTCAACCACTGTGTTACACTGTCACCTACTCAGGATTCTCAGGGTAGAAGCAGGGAGGAGACTGTGACTCTGAGTCATAGGCTTCCTCCTGCATCAAGACTCCCTAACTGCCCACCCTACCCCAGGTCCGAGTGGAGTTCCCCTACAAGGAACCACTGTGCAGTGCAGCCAAGCCAGGAGCCCCTTCCCGCCAGGTGGTGGTCGTGCCTCCCAACTCCTCCAAGATGGTGCCATTCGTGCTTCTCCCACTTCAAATAGGCAAAGTGGAAGTGGAGGTCAAGGCCAGGGGCTCTGAGGTCCAGGACCACGTGAGGAAGACACTCCTGGTCCGGGTAACAGGCACCCCCAGCCCTTGCTGCCAGTGAAGACAGTGTGGCTTACCCTGGGCGCCAAGCTGTGTGATCATGGGAGGGGCAGGTGGACCCAAGATCAGTAAACAGGCCTCTGGGGCAGAAGTGAGGTGCAAGACAATGGATTTGAAAGTTCAATCACAGAGCCCTCACTTCAGGACTTTGGAGTCAGACTTGGATTGAAACCTTATGTTTGCTGTGTGACCTTGGGCTACTTACTTAACGTCTCTGAGCCTCTGTTGCCTCATTTGCAGGATGAGGATAATCACCATACCCGTGAATAAGCAGAGAGCTGTGAAAATGACACACAACCTGTACATGACCCATCAGTAATACTTTATTTACTTAACAACACGTGTTAGCACTTAAGATACAGCACTTTAAGAATACTAACTCACTGGGCCACAGAACAACTCTGTGAGGTAGGAACTATTATCCTCTGCCTTTTACTGGTGAGAAAACTGAGGCACAGAGAGGTTAAGTCATTTTCCCAAGGTCATGCAGCTGGGAAGCAAAGAGCTGAGATTTGCACCCAGATATCTGGGCCCCAGGGTCTGTGTTCTTTATAGCTAACTTTCATGGTGACTGCTATTGTTACTATTTTTAACTTTCTTCCTCATTGAATCCTACAGGCAGGGGGTCAGATACAGCAAATATCCCGTAGCATCGTCCTGAACCCCCAAGGTTTGTGGGGTCTTCAGGGGGAATGTGGGATCCTGGGGCCATGTTCTGGTGGAAGAAGGTGCTGAAATGAGGGGGTCTGGGCGGGTGAGCGATCTGAGCTTCTCCCAGACCTCGCGGTCCCAGAACCTGCTTGTGACACAACGTTGTGCCTGCTCAGGTCAGACCCAGACGGAGCTGGTGCCAAAACAGGACTTTTTGAACAAGATGCCCAACACAGAGGCGGAAGTGTTTGTCAGTGTCCAAGGTACCTAGGACAGAGCTGGTTCTTGCAGGGGACTAGGGGGAGCTGGCTCCTCAGAGCCTGCCTGGGCAGGCAGGAGGGGCTGGGGTGCCCATGCAGGGTGATCAGGGAGACGTGGTGGCTTAGATCATGCCCATTTGACAGGTGACATCCTTGGCGAGACAATCCTGGGCACCCTGACACCCCAAGAAACGCAGCGGCTGCTGACGGTCCCAAATGGCTGCCCCGAGCAGACGCTGAGCTCCCTGGCTCCCGTGATCATCCTGACCCGCTATTTGGATGCCACAGGCCAGTGGAGCAAGGTTGGGGTGGAGCTCAGAGAGGAGGTGATGAAGAACATTGTCAGTGGTGAGAGTAGGTCCCCTCCTGGGACCTCAATGAGGGTGTCTGGGGCTCTCCGGGAGGGCGGCTGAGGTGCCCCTAGGATGGGAGGGGGCCCCCACTGGACCCTTCCGGACAGGAACAACCAAACTCTGACTCATCTCTCAGATGACAACCAAGTCCCACTGGTGACCCCCAGCAGTGACCCCAGTTTATTCCTTCACCTTAACCCCTCTCCCAGGCTACAGTCTCATAACAGACACCCTGGTTTACCCCAAAGCATCAGCCTCCCAGGTTATGTTACATTCAGACACTGTCCCAGATTGTCCCCAGTCAGTGCCATGCACCAGGCTACATCCCCAGGGAACCCCCACGCAGAAAACTCCAGAATAACCCCAGCTGGTGGCCTCCCAGTTACACCTGAATGCTAACACGTTCCCAGGTTACATCCGGGCCCCCAGGTAACACCCAGAGGTGCACCCTCCTGGTTATGTCCAACAGAGACCCTCGAGTCAATTTGGACACTGTCTCCTTCTCCCCAGTTACACTCAGATGCCAACACTACATCCAGGCGCTTTCAACAGTAATCCCCAGATAACACCCAGACTGTCCCCACCAGTGTCACACCCAAGCAGTAAGCCTCCAGGTAGCCTTCAGATGACACCGATGCTCAGATTCCACCTGAGATGCCCCCTCCGGGCTACACCCAGTAGTGACCTCCTCTGACTACACAGACACGTTTACAGCCAAGAAACAGCCCCCAAGAAAACAGCCAGATAGTAGCCCCTCAAGGTGCCCCTCTTCCTGGGCTTCACCGTCCACCATTCCTCCGAGCGGCAATCACAGTCACACCCTTCCCCACAGTACCCCAATGATGCAGTTTCTCAGTTTACTCCCAGATACAACTACACACTGGCGCCCACTGTCACACATGGCCATGAACTTCATTTACACCTGTGCCCTGTAGCCCCCTCCTAATGCACCTAGACCAGTCCCCTCCTCCAGGTTACATCTAGATGGGGTGCACCCCCCAAGTCCCACCCACACCCTGCCCCCCACATTATGCCTGGTAACTGACCTGCCTTCGCAGCCACACCCAAGCACCAACTCTCCCTGCAAGTTCTCCTCCACCTGTCTCCCCAGGATACACCCGTATGCTTACCCACCGGAGTGCAGATGGCACCTACCACAGCAGCAAGGGAAACCCAGGAAGCACCTGGTAAGGATGAGGGCTCTGGTGGTCCTGCCACCACCACCCTGCGAGGAGCCCGAGGGACCAGCCCGGGGTGTGATGGCCCCAGGAACATCCACGCTGCAGAGTCTTGGGGCAGGCAGGCTGTGGGCAGTGACATTCCAAGTTGGCATGATCTATGGTGTAGACTCCCCCACAGCGTAGATGGCCCTGTCCTAGAACCCCCTCCACTGCCATTGTCAGTCATCACTCACCCGTCTCCCTTCCAACAGGCTCATGAGCTACGTGTTCCGGGTCTTTGCCCTGGCCTATTCCACCATGACAATCAGGGCGCTCGACCTACACTCTCTCTGTGACATTGCCAACTGGATCATCACCCAGAGACAGGCGAAGGACGGGCACTTCTTGGAGAAAGGTCCTGTGTTCATGGCATCCATGCAGGTACCCACTGCCCCACCCCACCCCACCCCACCCCAGTCTCGCTTGAGCCATCCAAACAAAACCCAGCGCTCTGCACACTAGGAAGGGAATTTCAGTCCCCTGACATGTTCACAGGTAGAATGAGAACAGGAAAGAGCTGAGGCCAGGCAAACAGCATCAAATCACCCCGCTCTGGACTACCCTGCACTCTATTACAATGTGGGGAGGCCGGGTAAACCTGGGACCCACCTCTCCCTCACCCCTGCTTCAAGCAGTCATCAGCCCTGGCCCACCTCTCTTGGGGCCTGAGCCCTTCCTGTCCCCGCAGCCAACACACCCTTCCCTACCAGGTATTCCTCCACACCAGCCTTCAGAAACAGCTTTCAAACAGCCTGGGAGGTCTCTCCTCTGCTCAAACACTTTTCTTGGCTCACAGTCACCTACAACAACATCTCTCTACTCTCTCTCTCTCTTCTGTATCTCCTCCCAAGCCTCACCCCTCACTGCTCCCTGCTCATGGGTCCCTCCAACTCACCTCTGTGTCTTTGCTGATGCTGCTCTCGCTGCATGGACTACCCATATCTCATCCCTTTGTGTGTGTGTCTTCTCTTTATTTTATTTAAAACTTTTTTAGTTTTATTTCTTTTTGAGGAGGGAGATAATTAGGTTTGTTTGTTTGTTTGTTTTTAACAGAGGGACTGATTGAACCCAGGATCTCCTACATGCTAATGCTAAGTGCAGCACTCTGCCACTGAGCTATACCCCTCCTCACTCATGTCTTCTCTTTAGATTTAGCTCGGGCACCACCTCCTCTAATGTCTCCCTTGAATACCAGCTTTGCTCTATGCACCTATCGCATAAGGGATGTGATTTATTCACTCATTCAACAGACATTTATCCAACAACTGCTGTGTACCAGGACTTGTGCCGGGTAGAGGGGAGACAGAGGGGTAAACAAGATAGCTAATTATCATGATATAGATATAAATGATGTGACATGTTATGAGTGATGGGGAAAAATGCAGGGAATGGGGGATCCAGGTGGGAGGGGTGAAATTTTGGAAGGCTTCGTGAGGAGATGACATTTGTACAGAACTGAGGAGGTGAAGGGGCAAGTTCCAAGCAGTGGGAGGAGCATGTGCAAATGTCCCAAGACTGCAATGTGCCCAATATGTTTGAGGAACAGTGAGGAGGCCAGTGTGGCTGGAAGAGAGTAGGCAAAGGGATAGGGGGAGGAGTTGAGGGCAAAGAGGTGATGGGACAGATTGTACAAGGCCTTGTGGGCCACAGAGAAGACTTAAGCTTTTCCTCTGAGTGATGTGGGAGCTACAGAAGGTTCTGAGCAGAGGAGGGGCGTAAAGTGATTCAAGAATTCACGGGCTTCCTTTGTCACTGTGAGAAGAGACTGTGGGGCATGCATTTGTTTCCTAGGGCTGCTGTAACAAAGTACCACAAACTGACTGGCTTAAAACAACAAAAATGTAGGGGGAAGGTATAGCTCAGCAGTAGACCACGTGCTTAGCATGCACAAGGTCCTGGGTTCAATCCCCAGTGCCTCTACTAAAGGTAAATAAATAAACCTAATTGCCCCCCAAAAAAAGTAAAATTAAATTAAATTTAAAAACAGAAATACACTTAAAAAATTCTTTTTGGTAGGAGAAGTAATTAATTAGGTTTATTTATTTACTCTTGGAGGAGGTACTGGGGATTGAACCCAGGATCTTATGCATGCTAAGTGTGCACTCTACCACTTGAGCTATACCCTCCTCCAGAAATGTACTATTTTGTCAAAGTTCTGGAAACTAAAAGTCCAAGATTAAGGTTTCAGCAGGGCCATGCTCCTTCTGAAGGCCTTAAGGGGGGGATCATGCCTTGTCTCTTCCAGCTTGGTGGCCCCTGGCAAACTTTGGCACTCCTTGGATTGTAGCCACATCGCTCCAATCTCTGCTTCCATCTCCACGTGACTTTCATCCTTATGTGTGCCTTCTTATGTGGACACTAGTCATTGGATATAGGGTCTACCCTAATCTAACATAACCTCTTCTTAATGTTGCCCATTATGTCTGCAAAGACTCTATTTACTAATAAGACCACATTCTGAGGTTCTGGGTGGACATTAACTTTGGGGGGGATATTATTCAGCCCAGTACTGGGATTGGGACCTGGGACACCAACAGAGTGTAAACCCTCAGTCAATCACTTACTAGCAATGGTGACACTTCACCTCTCTGACCCTCAGTCTCCTCATCAGGAAAATAGAGCTGCTGCATGAATGTTTTGAACTAGCATAGAGAGCTTTAGCACAGCACCCTCTATGACTGTTAGATTTTGTTAGTAAGACAGACCCCATACGGACAAGTCTCAAGATGGCTCCTCCTCCTCCTCTACCTCTCTCCTCACCCTGCTTTCAGCATCACCCAGCCCAGAACTGAAGCTGGACACGCAGGAGCTTTTCAAGGTCAGGCAGAAGAAGTTGGGGAAGATGTCTCCAAGATGGTAAGGGCATCATGGGTGTGATTCTGCATCCACAGGGTGGCTACAAAGGCTCCGAGGCAGACATATCTCTCACAGCACTTGTCCTGATCGCTCTGAATGAGGGGAAGGAGTTGTGCAACCAGGAGATACCGGTAGGACCCAAAGAGGCAGATAGGATCTGCAAGATGACATAGCCTTTACACACAGGGAGCTCCCTCGCCCTCATGTCGTTCTTAGTGCATTCCCCTTTTCTAATTCCCAGATCCTTTTCCTCTGATCATCTCTCTCTAGCCTCCTCTCTTGACTTTCTAGAATTTGGCTGCCAGCATGAAGCAAGCCTGTGACTTCCTGGAGAAAAAACTCCCCCACATTGAGACAACTTTTGCCATAGCAGTAGTCTCCTATGCCCTAGCCCTCACCGGGAGCCCCCAAGCCAATGACCGCCTGGACAGCTTTGCCAGCCAGGGTGGGTGTGGGTCACTTCTTAACCAACTATGTGTTGACCACAGTCACAGGGGCAGAGATGGGGGGGTTGCATGATCTCAAATCCAGCAATGTATGATTCATCATTTATTGAGCATATATGGCATGCCAACCCTTGAGCTCAGACCCTAAGAAACCAGGGTGAACAAGACTGATGTGGTCCCTGCCCTCAAAGGTCCTACAGCCCCTGGAGGAGGATGGCAGAAGATAAACATATCAATAGAGAATTACAAGTTGATACAAGTGCTGAGATAATAACACACAAAGTGGGTGGGAGAGATGATGAGGGGAGGGGAGCATAGATTGGAGAGCTGGGAAGGCCTCTGTGAAAAGGGGACCCCTCAGTTGGAATGTATGATGAGAAGGCCCAACCTTGTGAAAGACCAGGGACATTCCAAGCTAAGGGAATGGCATGTGTAAGTGCGTTGAAGTGGGAAAGTGCTTGACAGGATTGAGGATAGAAAGGTCATAAAACGTGGGTAACTGAGAAGGTTTTGCCTCCCATGGCCTGCCCTGGGATCCCTGAGTCCTTTTCCCGTCCTTTCCATTCTCCAGGTCAACAGGAGTGGAGTTTAAAAAAACTCGTTTGCAGTGGAACTAGAGGGATGTAGAGGAGCTTCTTTGAACCTCAATCTCCCCATCTCTAAATAGTGTCCCTGTCTCCTCGAGTGGTGCTGAAAATGCAGTGTCCACATATCTCTTCAGCAAAGGGTTTCACATAAATTAGGTGCTCAATAAAATAGCAGATGAGAAAATTTGGGTCATATGATACAAGGAAAGAACAGGTTTAGAAAGGTGGGCCCAGATCTGTGTGACAAGGTGAGCATCCATCTTCTAGACAAAACCCACTGGCCAGTGGGCAGCCTGGGCGAGAACTCCCTTTACACCGTTGAGGCTACGGCCTATGCGCTAATGCAGAAGCTGAGACTGGGTCGGCGCAATGAGACCCATGCCATCGCCAAGTGGCTACTGGAGAAGCGGGAGCTGGGAGGAGGCTTCCAGTCCACCCAGGTGAACCAAGCCTTGGAAACAGAGGTGGGGAAAGGGAGGCTAGCCGTGATGCTGACCCAGGAAGACCACCAGAAGGAGCTGTCCGTGGTGCTGGCGCCCCCATGGTTCCCGGTGTACTGTCTGTGGTGCTGATCTGAGCCCCTCTATCCCAACACCAGACCACGGTCGTGGCCATCGAAGCCCTCACTCGATTCCGCAAAGCTGTCCCCTTCGACGGTGTCCAGGATCTCAGCGTCCAGATCAGAGCCCCCAAGAGAGCCTTGAATGTGGAATGGCTCATCGATGAGAACAACGCCTACCAGCTGCGGTCAGCAAAGGTATAGAGCTAAGGGGCAGAAGGGAAGTCCACAAAGAAGTGACACTGGAGATGAGGCCAAGAGTCATATCCCTGACAATCTCCTTCACCAATATTTTCTAACAACCATTGGCTATACTGTCGATGTATCGGTTCATTTATCCCACAGAAACTTCCTGAGCACCTTCTGTGTGCCAAGCATTCTCCTGGGTTACATTATGAAAGATCTATGATCCCTGCTCCCAAGGAACTTACAGTCTAGAAAGAAACTAAGACAATAAACATATTTCACATTCTATTTTAAGCTTCTAAACACAGAGGAATGAAATAAGTGTGCAAAGGGGAAAATAACCTGGGACCAGGGATAAGGTAATCTCCATGATCTTACTCCATTGTGGAGATGATATTTACCTTCAATCATTCAATCATCTTTATTGAGCACTTACTGTATGCCAGGCACTGTTCTAGGTTCTGGGAATGTAGCCATGAAAAAGACAGAAAAAAATCCCTGTCCCTGTAGAATTTTGTATTTTAGTGGGAAAATCCAATAAAGAGATGTGAATAAGTAGAATATGTAGTGTGTTAAATGATGGCAAGTGCTACGGGAAAAACATTAAGCAGGGAAGGGGATGGGAGCATCAAGGAGTTGTAAATTTAAATAGTTTGGATAGGGAAGTTCTCACCAAGATAGTAACGCTTGAGCAAAGACCTTAAGGAAAGGAAGATGTGATCCTTGTGGATATCTAGGCAGGAAAAACAGCAAGTGCAAAATCCCTGAGGCAAGAGTGTTCTAAGAATAGCAATAGGATTTAAGCAGGAGTGATGTGATTGGATGTGAATTTGTAAAATCTTGTTCTGACTGATTAGGGAAGAAAGTATGAGGGAAACAAGAGTAGATGCAGAGATGCCAAGGAGAAGAGTCTTGTGGGGGCTCCATGCATGGGGTGCTTCAGAGACATCACAAAGTGAACAGTGTAGACAGATGAACATTAGGACATAGCCTGTGTCAGCAGTTGTAGTTGATCTGTGAAATGTAGACACTGCAAATGCTCATCAAGAAGGAAAAGTAAAACCATCGTCATGGAGAGAGATGGGAGGGTCACTAGACTCCAAGTTATTGAAATAACTGAGGTCCCAGTGCCTGTGCACTCGTTCCTCCCCATCCCCACTGCATTTGAGCCATGTTTTTCTGCTTCCTCTGTCCTCAAATCCTCCTCCCACTTCTTTTCAGTTCTCTGCCCAAGATGACCTAGAGATCAAAGCCAGTGGCAGTGGAAGAGGCACCATCTCGGTAGGTCTGGTGTCCTGCCCTTGTGGTCCTTATCTAGAGCCCAAGCCCCACCTAGTTGGGAGAAATAGGGGCAAATCTAGACTCCAAGACAAGGTTGAGATCAGCAATAATCTTAGCTACCATTTAGGGCACAACCATTTGCTAGGAATCAAACTAAAGACACCTTAAAATCCCCTTGGGTGGTTGGTAAAAATCTGGGTTCCATTCAGCAGGTGGGGAAATAAAGGTTCAGAAGGTTTTCACTTGCAGTAAGACAAGAGTCAGGGAAGGTAGAGGCCCGATATCTTTGGATTACTCCACCCCTCCCATGCTGAGTTTCTGAAGGGGTGTCTCTTTCCTTGCCCCACCCAAAGGAAGAGTCTCCCTCCAGGGTACTTCCCAAAGCCCAGAGAGCACCTTGACCCTTCCCCCAGTATTTGGGGGCTCCATTACATCGTCTGGCCCTATGCCCTGTGGTCCAAAGGGATAGCCCTCTTGGCCACCAAATTCCAGCTAGCCTGCTATCATCTTTCAGGCAATGGAGCTGCAGTTGGATCCCTGCCTTTGCTGTGTGACCTCAGGCGAGTCACACTCCACCTTAAGCCCCAGTTAATTTTAAATAAAATAAATAAAAAATTCATTTCCTCAGTCATACTAGCCACATCTCAAGTGCTCAGTAGCCACATGTGTCTGCCATGTGGACAGTGCAAATAGAGACTATTGCCATCACTGCAGAAAGTTCTATTACACAGCTGGCTCAGATTCTGCAGGGTGTTCTGGCCACTGAACCCATGGATTGAGGGGGAAGACTTTGCTGTGAATTTCCCATAGGGTAGAGCACTGGGCAGGCAAGGACTAAAGCAAGGAGGAAACAGTATCTGTGAACGGGCTCTGACACCTCTTCTGTCCCAACAGATTCTGACCACGTACCACAGGTCCCCAGAGTCCTGGAAGGACACCTGCAACATGTACCACCTAAATGTGACTCTTAACACAGCCCCGGAAGGTAAGCCTGGACCCAGAGATACCCAAATCTTCTTTTTTTATTATTTTATTTTAGCTGTCACTCAGTAAGCACATTGATTGCTTTGTTCATCCATTCAACAAATTTTTGTGAGCATTTACTGTGCACCACACCTTGTTTCTTGGCCCCTGGAGACATAGGCATGAACAAGAAAAATATCCCTTCTGCTCCTGGATCCCTCATTCTAGTAGGGGGATACAAACAATATAACAATAACAATATATTAAACTCCAAACTCTTATTGTTATTTATCTATAACATAATTTATTCTACATTATGAAATATAAATATGTAGCATAATGGCAGGTGATAAGTAGTACACAGTTAAGTAGGAAAAGGTGCCACAGACATGAAGGAGGTCCAGGGGAAGCTCTCTGAGGAGACGGCATTTGAGCTGAGATATGAGAGAAGTGAGAGCGAGCCATGAAGGATCCAAGGGAAGAGTATTCCAGGCAGGCAGAACAGCAGGTGCCAAGGGCCTGAGGCAAGAATGAGCCCACCTGGTTTGAGGAACATCAGGGAGGCCAGTGTGGCTACAGAGGAGCAAGGGGTAGAGTTTTAGGAGAAAGAGTTGGAGAGGTGAGGGAGGCAGATGGTGCAGGGACTTGTGGGCCATAGTGAGGACTTTGGGTTTTGCTTGGAGTGAAGTAGGAGCCAGAGAGGGTTCTGAGCAGAGGAGAGACAGGACCTAGCACAGGTTTGCACAGGCTCCCTCTGGCCACTGCAGGGGAAACAGACTATAGAGGGCAAGGGTGAGAGCTGGGAGACCAGGGAAGAGGTGACTGCACTGGTCCTGCAGGAAATGATGGGCAGGAAATGATGGAGGGGGCTGTGGAGATGGTCAGAAATGGTGAGATTCTAGAGTTCCCAGTCTGTGGTACCAAGGAGGAAGAAACAGGACTCTCCCATTGGGAGTTCACTGTTGGGTGGAAAAGCCCCTGAGATTTTCAGGGACTGAAAGTGACCAAGAGTTTGGTTTGGGCCCCATTTCTTAATAGTAGTAGTAGTAGTAATAGTAATACGATAGTAATAATAATTGACAATTATAAATCACTGATCAGGCGCTGTGTTAAATGCTTTCCTTGTATTAACTCATTTAAAGTTAACCATTCAGGAATATTATGATCGCCATTTACAGATTAGGAAACCAAAGCACAGAGAGGTTAGCAACTTGCCCAAAGTCACACAGCAAAGTCAGAACTGGAACCCAGGAAAGTGGCTCCAGAGGTTGTGTTACCCAGCCTCTAAATTCCTGCCTTCTCTCTGCAGAGAATAAAAAGGGGGAAGCGACCTTTCAGCTCCGGATGGACACAAGGTCAGGGCACCAGGATCTTGGACTGGGCAGGAGGAAAGACCCCTTTCTCCAGACTCCTTGGCAGCTCTCCCTGTGTATTGAATGGAGGGTGGGAACCTGCCAAACTTGCCTCTCCGTGCCTGCCCCTCATCCCTACCTCTCAACCTGCCCTGCCCTGCCTGTCCCTGCTTCTGCCCCCTACCCTGTCCTCCCATGTTTGTGTACCACCCTGCTCCCCAATCCTGTCCCCTATCCTGCCACGTCCCAGAATGGCAGGTTTCTGCACAATGAACATACACCATGACCAGATGCCCAGAGCTAGCTCCAAGCCCCAAGTCTCTCCCCGTCTTCATCTTCTCCAGACACTCCAGCCCACACCCCAGTCTGGTTCTGTCTCCCAGATACCTTTGCCCAGGTCTGTCCCAGATAAAAACATGTATTGAGAACCTACTGAGTGCCAGACTCTGTCCTTGGAGCTGAGGGCACAGCTGTGAGCAAGGGAGCTCCTTCCTGCCTAGTGGGGCTCACAGCCTATCAAAAGAGAAAAACAATAACCCAATAATCACCCAGAATCAATGTAGAATGACAACTGATTAAATGTGGCAAAGGAGAGGTCCACAGAGCAACAGGAGGGCAAATTAGAGAATGATATGGTGTGCAGACTGGAGAAGGCTTTCCAGAGTGGGTGATGCATCAGCTGAGATTGCAAAGATGAAAAGAGTTTTCAGGGCAAAGAGGGAAGAGGGAGAATTCCAAGCTGAGAGAACAGTATGTGCAAAAGTCCAGTGGCAGGAGAGACTGACACTTAAGAGATATTAAATGGAGGCTAGAGTGGGAGGAGGTGAAGTAGAAGGGTGAGACCAGGTGTTCAGAAAAGCAAGGAGGTTAAGCAAGGAGGCAACATATTAGATTTCTCTTTGCTAAAGCTGTATGCTATTGGGGCAGAGGAGTGACAGGGAGACAGAGGAGGAGGCCACTGCGCTTGTACATGCGAGAGATGATGGCAGTGGGAGCATGGGGTGGGTAGGCAGGAGGACACTGGGAAGAGGGACTGGAGCTGTGAAATCCCCAGGTTCCAGGGTTATCGTGAGGCCACAATGACCATCATGGAGGTCTCCCTGCTCACCGGCTTCTACCCTAACCAGGATGACCTCAAACAGGTAATGAGCAGGGTGGGAATGACCTGGAAACATCCCCCAAGTGGGTGCAGAGCAGCATCTACCTGGGTCAAGGCCCCCAGGTCAATGCCCCATGGTCCGTGTCCCATGGTCAGTGGTCATGGTCACTTCTGGGGGAGGGGCCTTCATCACTCCCTGCATGACCTTAGCCCAGTCCTTGCCATGATTGTGCTTCAGTTTCCTCAGCACCGGGGTTGATTGGACAAGGGCTGGGAGCTCTGAAAATTACTTCACACTGACTGGAGCTCCCAGGGCTGTGTGCCTTGGAAGATCTTTGCCAACACGCAGTCCTCACCCTCTGCCCCAGCTCACAAGCGACGTGGAGAGATATGCCTTCCAGTGGGAGACCAAGATGGACTCCAACAGCAGCATCGTCGTCCTCTACCTGGAGAAGGTGAGGAAGGCCAGGTATCCTCTGTCAGAGGTCGGTGGGCAGCCAGGTGGGCAGAGAAACTGCGACTGTCACCCTGGACAGTGTCGCCAGTGAGCCACGCCCTCTGAGGTCAGCTCTTCAGTATTCAAGGCCACGTGATCAGTGGTTATGACCAAGACCCTGTGGTCAGTACCCCCTGCTCAGTGACCCTGATCAAAAGGATTCCCGTTCCCCAGCTCTCCCACAAGGAAGATACGGTGCTGGGTTTCCGAGTCCACCAGATGCTGCAGGCCGAGTTCCTGCAGGCTGCCCAGGTCACGGTCTACGACTACTATGAGCCGTGTGAGCAGGGGCCTGGGGTTGGAGGGGTATCATTGGGGGTAATGCCTGCAAAGAATGGGCCAGAAGGGAGAGTGAGAGGTGGGGCCAGTAAGGGGCAATGGGGCGTGGCAGAGAGGGTCCAGGGCTGTTGGGGGTGGAGCGGGAGCAGGGGCAGGCAAGAGGGTGCCAGAAGGAACCTAAGGGGCGTGGTGATAGGAGGCATGACCTTCCTTCATGGTTAAAGTGGCCAGGGCGGCCTGGAGGGAGATGTGGCAGGGCTGAGAAGGAATGGGGCATGACCTGCTGGATATGGCTGGACGAGAAGGCGTTAGGGTCTTCAAAGAGGAGGGACCCGTTGAGGGGGTGGCTGGGCAGGGCCAGCGGGGTGGGGCCAGCTGGGGGCAAAGCCAGAGGGCACCCAGCCCCCAGGAGCACTGGCCCAAGACAACCCCCTAACACTCACCCCTTCTCGCAGCCCAGAGGTGCAGCTCCTTCTACAACCTGCCCACAGAGCGCTCTTACCTGCAGAAGATCTGCCACAGAGACGTCTGCAGATGTGCCGAGGGTGAGGGCATGGGGACGTGGAGGGCTGGGGCTGCCGGGCTGAGGGTGCAGGAGTTTTTCGTCACTTCCTGAGTGTCTTCGGGGCTGAGTCTAGACAGAGAGAGAGAGAGAGAGGAAGACAGAGACAAAGAGAGGCAAAGAAAAGGAGACCCAGAGACAGGGAATGACACACACACACTCGGGTACTGCCAACAGTCAAGCGAGTCAGAGACACAGACACGGAGGGAGGCATAAAGAGACTCAGATGGGAGAAACAGAAAAGCAGAAGACCAAAATGAGAGGCAGAGAAGGAGAGAGCATCCCATAGACTAGAAAGGCCAGACCCAGAGACCCAGGGGTTGCCGCCTGGGGCTGGATGGGGGTCAGACGGGAGGAAGGCCCTGCCCCCAGTGCAGTCAGAGCAGCTGCACCCCCTCACCTTCCAGAACAGTGCCCATCCCCAAAGAAGGACAGCAACCAACTGAGTCAGGAGGAGCTCCAGGCAGCGGCCTGTGAGGTGGGCGTGGACTTCGGTAAGTGCTAGGAGCGGTAGGGGGCAGGGGGCGGCCCACCTGCAGGGCGGACACCAGCACAGCCGCCTTCTGGATTCCTTCCCCAGTGTACAAGGCCAGGCTGGAGTCCGTGGAGACCTCCACCTCCAACCCTTACGTCTACTACAACATGCAGCTCCAAGCCATCATCAAGAGTGGTATGTCCACGGTGGTAGAGTTGGTGCCATGGGCCCCACCCTGGGGTCCCAATATGGGGGAGGGCCAGGTCTGTGCAAGCTCACACACTGGATCTTCTCTCCTCTAGGCACGGACTCTGCCATACCCTTCAAGAGGAAGAAATTCATCTCCCACGCCACCTGCTATGATTCCCTGGGGCTGCAAGAACACGAGACATACCTCATCATGGGCCAGACATCTGACCTGTGGAGAGTCAAATCTGAGTGCGTGGGGGGGGGGCTCCTGCTGCCCTAGGGACTCATGCCTGGACCCCCTTTTCTCCCCCACCTCAGTCCTTAGTGTCAGAATTTCTGCTGCACCTGTCAACAGGAGTCTCTGGTTGCAGGGCTGCCCTGAATGGAGGTACAGGATGTGCACTGCACAACTCCAGGGAGCACCATTCATAAGGAAATGTTGTGGACATAGATGTAAATTTGGTTTTCCAACAGAGGGCAATAAAGAGTCAGAGGAAGGAGAGCCTTTCTAATCCCCAGCAGTAGGAGCTAGAGCTGGGGGGACACGAGATGACCCTGTGGAGTGGACCCTACAGGCTGTGGCTCTGGGAGTCTGTGAAGCAGGACAGAGGAGCAAGTCAGGAAGATCTCCACACTTTCAGGGCACCAGGTTCTCCTCACCCTCCTTGCCATCTCTCACCTACAGATACTTCCACGTCCTGGGCAAGGAGACATTCCTCATGCACTGGCCAGCAGATGGGGCAGTGGGCAAGAAGGAATTGCTAGACCAACTGGAGGGATTTTCAGAATATATGCATACCCATGGCTGCGAGTCCTGAAACCCTAGACCTCGGCTGCTCCTCCGAGGCTTGTCTCCAGGCAGGCCCAGACCACTGGGCTTAACCCCGAATAAAGAGCATGGAATATCGTACCCAAACTCCAGCCATCTGTTCCTGCTCCTGCGTTCAGCAGGGGTCCCGCAGAACCCGCCCTGACATTGCTTGGACCTGCCTCCCCTCTCTCACTCCTACTTCATTCCAATCATTCTGGCTTCCCCTGGGTCCTTCCAACACATATGTTGATTCCCACCCCAGGGCCTTTGCACTTAGTGTCTCCTCCACCAGGTACACTCTTCCTCCAGATATCTGCATGGGTTGAACACTTCTCTTATTTGGACTCTGTTTTAATGTCACTTCCTCAAAGACACTTGCTTTGCTTTGCTTTAATAACATATCTGAACTACACCTCCTCCCATCACTCTCTCCCCTTACCCTGCTTTATTCCCTCAATAACACTTAAAAATATATTGTATATGATATTTAGTAGTTTGATTGTTAATTGGGCATTTCTCCTGCCCCACAACATCAGCTCCTTAGGACCAGGGGCCATGTCTGTCTTGTTCACTGCAGTATTCCCCATTCCTATAGCAGGGGCTGGTATAAAGTAGGTGCTCAGGAAATGATTGTTGAATGAATGAATGAATGAGTGAGTGAGTGAGTGAATCTAACACCCACTCTGTACTTGATCCTGATGGAAGCTTTGATTAGGAACTGCAGAACTGAGGCAAAGGGCAGAGGAGAATGAATGAGTTTCATCAACATGGCCTGGAATGGGAGTGAGGGACTGCCAAGCCAATGCACAGTCCTTGTGGGTCAAAGGACCCCCCTCCCAAGGAGTGCTGGAGGGACTGCAAGGCATCCAGAATGACTTAAACTTGGAGTGTCAAGGAGGGGCTGAAGATGAGAGAGAGAAAAAGAAAGATGGGGCTTTGAATATCAGGCTAAAGGGTTTGGTCATTATCAAAGGCAGTGGGGAGCCATGGAAGGTGTTTGAGCAGGAGAGGAATTGACCGGCTCTGAGATGGAAAGGTCCCATTGGCTGATGGGCAGAAACTAGAGCTGTTGGAAGGAAACCTAAAGAGGAGGCTGGAGTTGTGGGGCCACAGGCTAGCAGGGCAGCAGCTGCCTGAATTCACATTCTGCATCCACCTCTTCTTGGCTGTGTGACCTTAGCTCAGTTACTCACCTCCCTGTGCTTCTGTTTCCTCATATCTAACATTACTTCCCTCAGAGAGTCAGTGTGAGTGCCCAGCACATAGAAAGTATTCAATAAAAATTCATTGGCCTTATTATCAATGAGCCAGACAAGAGGCCTTGGGGAAGAAGTGAAGCTGCTAGAATCCACACAACCGACAATCAGAGAAGAAAATCAGGCCACAACAACCCCTGCTCAAAACCCTCCCAGGCTCCCATTCCTCTGACACTGCAGCACTCAAGGACCTGCAATGTGGCCCTGTCACCTCCCTGACCCCAGGTGCCCACAGTCTTCACTCATTCCACTCCAGCCACTCAGGCCATCTTTCATGGTCCCCAGAAACCCTGAGCTCTTTCTTGCCTCTGGGCCTTTGCATAAGCTGTTCCCTCTGCCCAAAACACTTTTCCCATGACTTTTCTTCTCATCTCCTCCGAACAGAGATGTCTTCTCTGGCTACCCTGGCTAGACTAAACTGTATCTTTCCCTGCAACCTGCTTGTTTCCTTCTGAGTAAATGTCACAGTGCATAATGACATACTAGATTCTTTACTTATATCTTTGCTGTTCTTCTCCCCTTCTGGGGCTGGGAGCCCCACGAGAACAGGGGGACTGTCTTAGTCACAGATATAATTGCAGTAGCACACAGAGGGCCTGGCACATAGTAGGTGTTCCTTTTGCTGAATGAATGACTGAATAAATAAAAGAATAAAAGACAGTGAGAGAGAAGGAGGAGAGGGATAAAGGAAGAGAAGGGAGAGAGTGATGGAGGGAAGAAGGAAAGGAGGAAGGAAGGGAGGGGGAAGAAAGGAAGAAGGAAGGGAGGGACGGAAGCAGGGTAAAAGGGAAGGAAAGTAGAAAGAATGGAACAAAAGATGTCAGGTAGACTCGTGGCTTGTTTTTGTACAGCTCTTGAACTCAGAATTCTTTTTACATTTTAAATGTTTTTTTTAAAAAAAAAGCAAAGAAGAATGTGTGACAGAGACTGTATGTGACCTGCGAAAACGAAAATATTTATTATCTGGTCCTTCATGGGAAGAAAAACTGTGCCAACCCCAAATTAGTGCATAGGCTACCTACTGCTATGAAACAAATTACCCCAAAACTTAAAACTTTAAAATAATATTTATTATCATTCACAATTTCTGTGAGTTAGGAATCCACAGGAAGAAACTTAGCTGCATAGTTTTGGCTCAGGAATCTCTCAAGAAGTTTTAATTAAGATGTCAGCTGGGGCTGCGATCATCTGAAGGCCCGACTGGGGCTGAAAGTGTCATCTCCAAGGTAGCTTACTCACACGGCTGGCAAGTTGGTGGTGGCTGTTAGTGGGAGGACTCAGTTCCGCACCATGTGGACCTCCCCACAGGGCTGCTTGAGTCCCCTCATCATATGGCAGCTGGCTTTCCCCAGAGTGAGTGATCCAAGAGAAAAAGCAAAAAGAAAGCCACGGTGCCTTTTGTGACCTAGCCTCAGAAATCACACACCATCATTTCCACAACATCCTGTTGTTCACATGAGCAGGCACTATTCAGTGTGGGAAAGGACTACACAGGACACGGCAACCAACAAGCGGGGACCACCGCAGGCCATCTTGGAGGCTGCCAACCACAAACAGTAAGGGGCAGGGCTTAGGATTTGAACCCAAACAATCTGAATCCAGTCTATGCCCTCACCACAATATACAGATGTCCTTCAATAGCAAAGGGTGGGTAAATTTTAAAATAGGCTTAATTTTTAGGTCAGTTTTAGATTTACAGAAAAACTGATAAATAGTACATACGCAAGAAACTTCTGTACCCTCACCCAGCCTCCCTTGTTGTTAACATCTTCCATTAGTATACATGTTAGCATTAAGCTAATATCGATACAGTATTACTACATGAAGACCACAGTTTAGATTTCGTTCGTTTTCACCTAACACCCTTTTTCTGTTCCAAGATCTCATCCAGGATACCATATTACATTCAGTTGTCACGTCTCATCAGGCTCCACTTAGCTGTGACAGTTTCTCAGACTTCTCCTTTTTGATGTCCGTGACAGTTTTGAGGATTTACTGGTCATGACTATCACAGAATGACCCTTGATTGGAATTTTTCTGATGTTTTTCCATGATTAGGCTTTCGGAGGTATGGGTTGAGGGAGGAATCCTTTTTACAGAAAGAAAATGCCACTTCAATCATATCATATCAGAGGTATATAGGATCTGCATGCTTTACGACTACTGATGTGGACCTTGGTCCACCTGCTGAAGTAGTTTATCAGGTTTCTCCACCAAAGTTACTCTGCCTGCTCCTTTTTCCATAATACACTCTTTGAAAGTAAGTTTCTGTGCACGGTCTATTCTAGAGGGAGGGGGAGTTATACTTCCCTTCCTTCAAGGCCAAGGATCTACGTAAATTACTTGGAATTCTTCTTGAGAAATTTGTCTCTTCTCCCCCATTTATTAATTTATTCAGTCCTTATTTACATCAGTATGGACTCATGAATATTTATTTTATGCTTTGGGTTACAATTCAGTACTACTTGATTTTGTTGCTCTAATCACTCCAGCTTGGCTACTGGGAGCTCTTTCAGTTGGCTCCTAGTGAATACATTTAAACTTTCACATAGATTACTAATTTAGATTCTAATAGTTGTGGCAGTTTATATTTCCAATCCACTATAGATTGAGGGGTTTTTATTGATGTGAAATTCACACAACACACAATGAACCATTTTAAAGTGCACAATTCAGTGGCACTTGGTACATTTACAATATTGTGCAATCACCACCTCTCTCTAGTTTCAAAACTTTTTCGTCACCCCATAGAAACATCCTGTACCCGTTACATAATCACTTCCCACTTTCCCCGACCTCCTGCTCCCTGGTAACCATTAATCTGCTCCCTGTCTCTATGGATTTGCTTATTCTGGATACATCATAAAAAAGGAATCATGCAGTATGTGACTTTTGAGGGCTGACTTCTATCACTTAGCATACTGTTTTCAAGATTCATCAAAGTTATAGCATGTATCAGTTCTTTATGTCTTTTGTGGCTGAATTATATCCCATTGTATGTGGGAAATAGCACATTTTGCTTATCCATTCATCTGTTGACAGACATTTGGGTTGTTTCAGCCTTTGGGCTATTGTAAATCATGCTGGTATGAATGCTGGTATGCAAATATCCCTGTGAGTTTTCCAATGTCTGAACATATCCTGGGATAAATCCCACTTGCTATAGTGTACAACCCAGTGTGCTGTTGGATTTGGTTTTTCAGTATTATTTATCCACTAGATCCTGTCCTCCACTGGCTTAAGGTTGCTCCAGAGGGCACTAAAGCTGCACTTGGTGGGGGCCATGAAGACCCTGAAGGAGAGAATAGAAAACTACACAAATTCTTGAGGTAGGAGTTCCATGCATTGTGGAACTGTCCACAATAGATGCAGCTGAAACCCAGGCAGACCAAAGAGATGGGAAGCAGGGGACTAAAAGATTACCCTTATATACCTGCATGCATGCATAAATATAATAATTTTTGTCTCTGAAGCCACATGATGGCCCACCTCTAATTCTCTATATACATTTATTTCACTCTTAAATCATGCCAGTCATGGACGATATGGAAATTTTTTTAGTAAAAGTTTATTAGCTTGATCATGGGGACCAACCAACCAAACTAACTCTAGCTAATTTAGCCAGAAAAGTTTATTTAAGAATACTTGTGGTGGGGGAGTGTCTAGCTCAGTGGTAGAGCACATGCTTAGCATGCATGAGGCCCTGGGTTCAATCCCCAATACATCCACTAAAAAATAAATAAATAAACCTAATTACCTCCCCCCTCCCCCAAAAGAGCAAAAAATAAAAAAGAATACTTGGGAGCCATGAACAAAATATCCATACAATGGAATACTATACAGCAATAAAAAGGGAAGAACTACTGGCACATGCTATATAACATGTACGAATTCCAAAAACATTGTGCCTAATTAAAATAAGTCAGACACAAGATATCACATCTTGTATGATTCCATTTATATGAAATGTCCATTAAAGGCAAATCTATAAAGATTAGTGGTTGCTTGAGGCTGGTGGTAGGAGTGGGAATTGACCATAAATGGGCACAAGGGCTCTTATTTGTGGATAAAAATGTTCTAAAACTGAATTACAGTGATTGTTGCACCACTCAGTGAAGTTACTAAAAATCATTGAAATGTACACATGAAAGCAATGTTTTATGATATGTAAAACCTACTTCGATAAAGCT